GTGGGGGCGTAGTGAAGGGATATCTAAATGACATCCATCGTCATGGATACATGTGGATGGTGTAGATGGATGTAGGATGGTACGACCCCCCCCGCGGGACATGTCTCTTTTTGGGGCCGTCCGTCCTTCGCACCTGGAGAGCGTGGAGGCGGTGACCCGGCCGGTTCCATTCGACACGTCGGGACCTGGACTACCCGGACCACCCACGACCTGTGGAGCCTCCCAGTCGTCCACCCTAAGAGCCTGGGAAAGTCCAGGATTCGGCACTTTCGTCCTTTCAGAACTCGTGACCCTCGTGACCTGCTCCGATCGCACTGTGAGCTCGCGAGGGCAAGTTGCACCTTGCTGCCATCATGTCGATCGGCCTGGAGGATTTGGACTGGAGGCTTACCGCAGCTTGGTGACATGCTCACCACTCCCATGACCAACTCTAGGACTACCAGGAAAATCAATCCTGCAAGTAGCGAATATCAGGGAAGCGGTGGAGGGCTGGCAGATCACAGTGGTTGCTGGACCCTGCCCTTCGCAATGGTCCTCCTGAGCAGGGTAATACGTTTCCAACAAGTGTGCGTCAGTGTGGGTGGAAGAACACAATAGCAGGTGAACAGGGTCAAGAGTCAAGACTACAAAAGTATACAAAAGTTAAATTCAATTCCTTTCTGTTGCTGAGGAATGTTTAATCCATTTGTGCATACCTTTTGCTGGCGCAAGTTTCTCAACAACGCACACACGTATATTGGGTCTGTCCTATTTCCTGCAACAGTCGGTAAACGATTATGATTCATGATCACTATTTTAGAAAAAGGCCTTTACCAACCATCATTATCGCACTGTTACTGGCAGTAATGGGATATGCCCAACATGTATATATTTGTACATGTAATATACATACACATCTACACACACACACACCTACCCAAAGAATCCCAAACCTAAATGTTTACAGTACCTCCTGCTCTGGTCGCTTTTGTGGCCGTGGCCGTGTAGCAACACCGGCAGTACCGGCAGTACCGCTTGGCACGAAATGAGGCATTGCATTGTTTGGTGGATGGTTTGCTTCATTCGACTTCTTCCCATACTTACCTTCAAGAGGTGCAGATGGGCGGTCGTTAAGGTCCGGGACGTCGTCCTGCCCGGGCGTCCAGACTTGTCTGGTGCTGGAGGGTGTGGTCCCCTGGATGAATATCCAGAGCTGAGAGGGCACCCCCAGCATCTGTAGAACAGAGCGAAGAGGTGTGGCAACGGTTGAGGCCTTTTGACGATTGGGTGGTGGATTAATAGGAGGGATACTTCCAAGTGAACAGCCAATAAGTACGTGGTAGGCATCGGCCGGGACACGTTTTCCCCGGCGTCGATCGGAGCTCTCCATCGTTCCATGACTCGCTGACTTGATCCGGACAAATGAAGAGCTTTGGAATGTAGACATTGTGTGGACTCTTGAGTCAGAAGAGTATGAAGAGTCATAAAACCCAGAATGGTTCTGATCTAAGTATAGTTTTGATTCATCAACTACCAGGTTCTTCAAAGTGACCTCTTTGGAGCTCCTAAGTGACCTTTTACAGACCCAAGTGACCTCAAACCGGGATATCAAAAGGTCACTTTGAAGAACCAGGTATCTACATGATTTTTTTATAGGGAAATCCAGATCGGCGCCGAAGAGAGACCGCACCGCCCAGAAACCTCTGAGATTTAATGTAGTGATGTCGTGTGTTCGCGATCATGTGGATCATGTGGTGCATGTAGGCGGTCGCCTATGGCCTTGTCACTTTAGCTTGCGCCCTTTGCGAGCACCAGACGCGCTCCCGCATCTCTGCGGTGATGACCTCTGACTCCACGGCGGGTGGAGGGGTCGGTGGGGGAGGGTGGAGGGTCGGTTGGTGTAGAAAGGAAGGATGGTTCATGACAGGTCGTAGCACCCTCCTAGCTATTCCCATGCAAATCGAGGGGGTTGATCTCCAACATCAGGTGCAGTTTTAGCAAGGACGCTGTATAGCTGCATTGATTCTTGGGCTTCAATAAAACCACTGGAGCAAAAGATCCCAACTCCAACTCCACACACCCCGAATCGCCGGCCTAGCGCCTAGCAGAACTGATTGAGGAAGACTAGCTAGTGAACAATTGGCTGGCTGACCAGGTGGTGAAAGTTCCCTGTTCGGGGAGTTGCCCACCAGCCTTCTTCTTTCGGTCGTGCCGCTTCTGACCTGGTCGCGCGGCGGGACGCAGGCGTCGATGCTCAAGAGCGTGCGAAGGGTGTTGAAAGGCGTCGCAGACGCTGATGTCTTGCTGGATGCTGAGTATCGCATTCTGGGCGAGAGCCTCGTCACACAGGGCGGCCAGGGCGGCCGGCCTTCGCTCACACATCCATCCAGCGTCGGGTCCCAAAGCATGTCCTGATCAACCTGATCAACCTGTCAATTTCGGAATTGGAACTTATACAGGTTAGATTTAGTCCTAATAACATCTATAGTAAATCCAAAAGGCTTATTTAAATAAGCTTCACCCAAGTCAAGGAATTCCTATAGACTCGGGTCACTGAGTCGACTAATTATTTGAGTCGACTCGTCACCGGTTTTCGAACCATCTCATCTATCATCATCTATCCTCCGATTCTCGAAGAAAACAGTCCATCTCTCGCTACCAGTCCATCCCCTCCTTCGGTTTTTGCGCCCGTTTCAGCGTTCGCCGTCTATTTCCAGACCCCTTCCGAACCCGACTGACGTGAATGGTCAAGCTACGGACGGGACTGGTGGACTGGTCGCGTGAACATGGTGGACTGGTTTCCAGTTCCGGGGACGCAGTGAAACGACCCGACAGGCAGGCGGCAGCTAGGCAGCAGCTGGCGGCAGCTAGGTGCATGGATCCACTGCCTTGAGGGGAGCACCCCACTATATAGCCCTGGAACTCCAACTAAGTTTATCCAACTAAGCCCTTCACCCTTCAGCCAATTCATCGGCCCCTGCTCTTCATCGCCCATTCTTCCGAAAAAAGGAAGCCAAAAGTGGCCCACAAGTGGCCACGCACCCGAACCTGCTCCGAACCCAGGACGGGCATGCAGGGCATGATCACGTGCCGTGAAGACTTGGGCGGCCGCAGCTTCCGAGGGCTCCTGCAGTCGCTCCGACCTGGGAAAGAAAGGGCATGGGATCAACAGCAGGACCCTGCAAACCATGGCAGGTGGATGTATAATAGGTATGATAGTTGATGATAGTTGATACCATTTGACACTCCCTCAGTTGCAGAGATATACAGGGGAATTCGGTACATCCATAGGGGTCAACCAGAATTTCGTTTTTACATTTTTTCTTTTCTCGACCAACATTCCCTGCTCGTTGTGAGTCTTTGAAGACGAATGGGTGCGCAGTTGGGTTTGTTCTAAAGCCAAGCCATGGTAAGTAGGCGGCGGATGTTTTGATATTGGGGAACAAGAAGCTACTAGGAACACAGGGCATCGCTACTAGGAGCAAGGACGCTACTAGTAGCTCCTGGCCTTACCACTATAGGAACAAGAAGCGTGGTCAAGCGCCCTCCTTCCCCATGACTCGGCTGCGCATTCGACGGGATTTTCGGGTCCACGGGGCATGATGTCATCGCAGCCATTTTTTAATATGGACTTCAGCGGCGTGGGGGCAAGCAAGAGGATGAGAGATGTTTTGTTTCATCCAGTTTGCCATGGTCTTTTGGGTGAGCAAAGGGTCAAAATAGCAGTTGGTAGAGTCCCAACCAGAACTATAGTTACTATCCAAATGACTTATCAATAAGTAAAATTCAACAATACCTAGTAAGAAATAAAACAGATCATACTTTCATGAATGACGAACTTTTGTAGATCTTGGTGCCTTGTGCCAATGGAAGCCTGAGTCACTCTGGCGGCTCAGTTTTATTTTGGCGTTCCCATGCCCCGAAGTCAATCTGCTGAATTTATTCTTGCAGGGACTTCTGCTTGTGGCGCCATCACGTTGACGAACCCAGTGGATGTGGTGAAGACACGTTTGCAGCTTCAAGGTGAGTTGAAGCAAAAGGGCGCCGTGTACACGGGCATCACTCAAGCCATGCTGCGCATCTTTCGACAGGAAGGCGTTGCCTGGTGAAACTAACGTCATCCTCCAAGTCAGGTCACCAAGAGGTATACTAGATTTCCACCTGTAGCACACACACATGTGTAGTTTGTATATCTCTGTGCGTTATTGATAGAATCAGACATTATACCAAGGTTGCAGGTATGACCAGGTATACTTCCACCAAAAGGTCGGAGCGCTACGCGATCTCGCGGTTGCGGTACGAGGATCGGTTCGGAAGCCTGGATCAACAGTCTTGTTTCGTCCTCACTGTCTTCTTAAGAGAACTGACCAATGGACACATCGGAAGACCCACATGGAAGATGGCAAAGGCCAGAATTTACTCCACTGATGAATCTCCCCACACACTGTGCATGTCAAAAGCTTTCGGTCGAATCGTCCGTTTCAGCGGCTTCTTGGCCCCGCCAAAATGAATCCACCAACTTAGCAGCTCGACCGAGCACGCAACAACATCGCCAACGAGTTGTTCGTGGCCTGTCCCAAATCTTCAGAAACTGAGGTTTTGGGACTCCAACGGGGGGCTCTTTGCGGCCTACTTGTTGCAGTTCAGCAACGTGGGATGTCGCTTCGGCTTCTACGGCACGCTGAGCCTCGGAATCGGCCGTCGGCCTAAGGGTCTGAGGGGATAAAAACGCAACAGGAAGCTTGGTGAATGGGTCCGGCAGAAAAAGGGGTATGTCAGCATTGGTTTTAAGGGAATAATTTCGAGGAATGCCATGTATTTTTTGTGCCTGGTGAAAACCAAGGGCGTTTTGGTCATGTTTTCCCATGAAGGTGTCCCTGTTTCCCCATCCACAATGAGTTGTTGAGTTATCGGCATGTTTGGAAAACTAAGAACCTCGATCCTCCTTGGCTTTGTTGAAGCCAAGGAAGGACTTCTTCGCGGTGAAACCTGGACATTCCACAGCACAGTGGCTCTCGTCCATGGGCTTGGGTGCCGTGTCCGGCTCCGCCGCCGCGCTGGTCTCGAATCCCTTCTTTCTTCTGAAGTCACGCTTCCAAGCCATTGGCAGTGAGGATGCTCAGCTCCAAAAACGGGTGACTGGGTGGTGGACTCACATGACTTGCCACAACTTGTGGTTGTCACCCTGTCTTTCGACCCCCCCAGGTTCGACCCCGGACGGGGCGGCATCCCGGTCTGAAGCCGCGGCGTCAAGCACGGTCCGCCCCAGGATGTGCTTCACCAGCACGTGCAGCCCTCCTTGAGAAGTGCATTCCGCGAGATCGGCAGGACACATGGCCTCAGTGGCTACTACCAAGGCTTGTCCGCCTTCGTGCCCAGGGTCTCGGCGGCCACTGCAGTGCAGCTCTCGACCTATGACATGAGTCACCTGGTTTTTGCATGGTTTTGTTGATCCTTTACTCTCCGGCTTCCATGGGTGAATCCCCGTTCTGGTGAACTTTTTCCTTATCTTCCCTGGTTCCTGGACAGCAAATCCAAGGTAAGGACATCATCCTCCAATCTACGCAGGTGCGATGGCTGAGAAACACCGGCACAGCACACACACACACACTTACTTGTGACAACCACGGGTCTTGCAGCAAGATACAGTAGAACTGTAAAGACCGTAAAGATGCATGGTCCTTTCGCAAAGAATGGTATTGTTGGGATGTTGGTCTCTGGGGTGTATCCAGAGCTTGCCCAGATCTAGGAATCCTTGTCTTTCTGGGGCTAGTTGGGAGTTGAAGGCTAGCCGTCCATAGCCTTCTCCTCATCCCAGCGAATTTCAGGTGCAGGAAGGCATTTCCACTCACTTTGGAGCAAGCCTGTTGTCTGGGCTGGCGGTGACTGTGGCCATGCAGCCCTTTGACCTTATTGCAGTGCGATTGATGAACCAACCCCAGACCAGCGAGGGCGCTCTTTATGCCGGACCGGTGGACTGCTGTAAGAAGCTTTTCTGAGCTTTCAAGTGAACCTTTAGGCCACCATCCAACAATCACGGAAGTGGATAGCGTTGCCACTGCGAACTTCCACTTCCATCATTGTTGGAGAGGCTACATGTTTTTGGGGGTATTTCTTTACACGCAACATTTTGTCGTTTCGACTGCGTTATTATGCGGGATACATTGGGGGTGTTGAAACACACCTGCCCAAATCACTGAACACTAGTTCTTCCTGCTTGTGGCGCGTATATGTTCACGTCTTATTGTTTGGCCCAGTCAACTTGCAGGAAGATCCTGCAACACGAGGGGGCCTCTGGACTGTTCAAAGGCATCACTGCCAACTATGCGCGGTTTGGCCCCTACTGCGCCCGGAGCCCACTTCATCCTGAGTTTGCAAACTGGGTGATTTTCCCGAACTGGGTGACTCCCCCCCAAACTGGGGTTTCAACACCCAGACACGACTAATGAGACTGCCATAGGATTGCCTAATTACGACCCACACCCCCTAGCTCCACCCCAACTGATTATATGGCAGTCCCGTGAGTCGTGTCTGGGAAGTCTGGGAACACCTTTCTTCCCAGCTTGGTCAGCTGGTCAGCCAACGTGACTCAGCCAACGAATCCCAAGAGTACTGCAGATTCAGCCGTAGCCGGGCTCCCAAGTGCCAACGAGGTTTGGAGTCTCCAGTAACCTTTTCAAGGCCTTTTTTCTGACCCCTCAAACCAGGGGATCAAGTTCCGTCACTTTGAAGAACAGGGTGGAGGAGACACTCTTAGCAGTCTTCTCGTATCTGAAGGTACTCTGACCTTCATGTTCCTGGAGCAGCTTCGTTTAGCTTGGGATCGCTTCCTCTAAGACCAAGGCCTGCAAGCTGTGTGATCCTAACCGTGCTCTTATAGTATTCGCCAGCATGTTCATTGCTGGAACATGCGGAACCAGTCAAGCCAAATGTCCACAAATGTCCATTCACTCTGGCTGCCTTTGGGATCGCATCATGGAATTTTGGACGTCGGAGAGCTCTCATGCCGCCAAAAGTCCGGGCTGCACACCGGACACCAGCGAGGGTGGGCGGAACCCGCGCATCAATAGCCGGTGTCGGAAGCAGAGTGCACCTGCTGGCATTGTAGAATCATTCTATATGCACAGGTCCGCCATGCGGCAAATACGCGATATAATCTACAAATATACATACATCATCATTATACAATATATCTATGACATGTATGGGAGCATAAGTACCAAATGCACCAGTAGATGCTTCACAGATCTCCTATGGGACTTGCAATCCAGCCAAGCTACTCAGTAGGGAGTATTCAGTGGGGTCTTCGGCCCGCCGCGAACGCGACCAATTACACCTTATTCACCGACTGGGACGGAAAGGGCAGCCCAGAAGCCAAAGCCTTCAATGACTTTTGTGCAGCGTTTTACTCTGCAAGCTCCATGTTAGTTCCTTGTGACCAGTAGCCCGACCTGTGCGAGGGGGATGGTGTTCAATCCAGGAACACGGAAGCTTTGAAATGCTTTAGCTCTCTTTCGGGATTCTGTTTTACCACCTCGGAATGGCCATTTCAGCTGAGGAGTGGCCACGATGATCGAAAGTTTCTGGACTTTATTGCATCCTCCAGTCAGCAGGAGGACTCACAGGCTGGAGCTTTCCTAGATTGGGTTATGGGGGTTGCATTTGAGGAAGGGCATTCTCGTGGAAATTCAATGACTTTCCATGTCCATGCGTGGGGCGCCCAGGGTGGTCCAGGACAAGGCCTTTGAGGAAGTGGTCTTCCTCAAACCTCTTTTCCACGGAACGTGAGTCAGAGTGTCAAGAAGGGTGGGCTTAGTGGTTGTGATTGCCCGCCCTGGTTGTATCTCGGGAGCAGAAGGCGGTGTCTCAACATGCACCAACTTCCTCGCAAGCCGCAGTACGCTTGAGCGAAGAACTGAACAAGGGCTCCAAAGGTAAACACCGATCGACACCCATCCAATTCTCCACATCTTTCTACAGGCACATTGTGGTCACTCGTCTCCGTGCTGTAGGAGTAGAGTGTCAACATCTCTATGAGGGTGCCGGTATGTGAGGCATACCCAGAACTTCCATTTTCACCGCCACTGGGAAATTTCACTGTGCCATTTGGACTCACAGCATCGGGGTACATATTCCTTCCATGTTCCTTCCATGTTCGGTAGCTATTTTGCTCCCCGGTTGCCTCCTCATGTTCCACCGTCTCCCACCAGTCAATGAACGCCACCCCAGCAGTCTCCCTCTGCGCCAGGTACCGCCCTGTGTGCGTTTGTCGCTGGAGACACTTCACGGCTCGGTTGGCGTGGACCTCTTTCATGTGAAGGTACCTGGTGCACCGGGCGAGGAGATGCACTTGCTGGCCCTGAAAGAGGACGGTTGGCGGAGGCTTGAAGGGAACTGAAGAGGTGTCAGAGGCACCTGCTGAGCAAACGGTTTGAACAAGGTGCTGGGGCGTGTCAGACCTCAGATGCCCAATGAAATCCGATTTCAGGCATCTCCGGTGCACATGGTCCCCTGCAAGCGGGAGTATGTGCTGAAGGGTGGCACCCTATAGGAGATCGTTGGACCATCTTCAGTCAGCCACCCGAAACATCTCCCCCAAGCACCTCTCGCCTCAGAGGGTGGTAGTGGATCTTGGGGCTTGCGAGCATGTTGGCGCTCAGATCTGGAGTCCTTGGTCCTGGTTCTGCTTCTTTTTAGGGGTGGACTTGGTTGTTTCTGGATAAGTCCACGTGAATCCTTTTCTGAGAAATATGATTTGTACAGGTCAATAACTATGTTGGAATATGCTTAGCATTGATATGTACAATATGTATACAATTGATTTCGTTTTGTTTTTACACCCGGGAAGAGACCCACATGGAACCTGAAAGCGGACCAGACTGGAAGACCATATTCCTCTACAAACCAGTGATTTTCAGGTTCCATGTTGGAGCTCTTCCAGGGCGTATCTATATGTTAATTTAGGATTTCCTTCAACTTCCATTGACTTCGCCTGGCGCATCCTTGTTCGCCTTGCGCATCCTTCTGCCTTCCGCACGCGCGCAGGATCCGGAATCCCGCAGCCACCCCGACGCCTCCCCGACGGCGCCGGTCGCGCGGAACAGCCGGAGCTCCGCCGGAGGGTTCACCAGCTCCGCCGGAGCCGCGAGTTCCGCGAGCTCCTGGAACGAGGTGGTGGATGCTGTTGAGGCGCTGGAGGACGCCGTGGCAGAAAGGGTCGGGTTTTTCAGAGGTTTGGGGCGGGGGGGCTCGGGGCTTAGCTGATTTGGTGAAGGTATATTTGTGTGGCTAGGCCAGGTGAAGGGAGATGTGGTTCCCAGATTGTGCCGGATACTTACAGTCGAAGCCTTCCTTTGAAGCAGATTTAATACCTGGTAAATATTAAAATGTTGTTGGGGACTCCCACCAAGAGACACCAAGACAAGGCAAAGTCTTGAGACCACAAATGGTCGATGCGCACGTGTGGTTTCCACATGTGTTTCCACGACTGGAGAATTTCTGCTGCCTGCCCACCACCCTCCATTTCCGAGATATGTGATTGGTGGACCTCCAACATGAACACACAAGTAGTTAAATAGACCTTCAAATCTTTTTCGATCTGATCCTGAACTTGCCTATAGATGCCACCATGTGCTCCCCCCTACTATGCGCTAAACACGCCTCCCTGGGATGGCGCTTCTTGTTTCCCCTGTCCGGCTTCGTTTGACCCTCCATGTCGGCCAGACCACTCAAGGAGGTGACCCTTCTGTTGAACAACGGCCACAGGGCTCAAAGCATCGAAGAAGCGCATCTCCGCTTCGCCAGCGCGGGACCACGCGCGCGGGGCGCCCGGGGCCCGCGCGGGGCGGAGGGCACGCGGAAGGGGCACGAGATGGAGATGCCCAGTCTCAAGATGCTTGGATTGAAGCCTCATGACTGCACATCCGCTTGGGTTCAAAAGGATGCTTCTCAATCATCCGAAATGGAACACTCCTGGCTCGAAGATGTGTTCATAAGGAGGAACCCATAAGAATGAACTCCACTAAGCCAGGGCTGTCAATGCATTTTTGATCAACCGCCTGGCAATTATTGCATACTACAGTCTACATTTGTTTGTTTCATCGCAGTTGTTAAAATTCGTCGCACGTGGTACAGCTCCAGCTGTGATGATCTCTGCAACCAGCCGCGCGCCGTAAAGAATTGTTGTTGATCCTGTATGGCATTCGGGGACTATAATAAAGCATGTTGCGATTGCCGTACATCTGTCGTGAAGGTGAACTTTGTTGATAGTACTCAAGTATCAACTGGATCAACAGCAATGGGAGTAGGCCATGCAACGAACATGTTCTTTGCCACTATGTGTATTAGTGCCCAATCCCATTCATCCCGTTCATTTCGAGCAGGGTTCGACCCAAGCAACGGAAAACGTGAGAAGGTTTGTATGCGGCTGATCATTGAGGCAGCTCGGTGCACAGGCTGTGCTGCACAGGTAGGTGGGTGACATATCCTCACAGACAAACATGACAAACCCAACTTGTGCCCCAAAGACATTGGTTTTCTTCACTGTATAGTTCTAGATAGTTCTAGTAATTATTAGTAATTTGCATGGCCGATTCTTTTCAGGGCAGGTGGGTAGATTTGGATAACGTTTGAATCATTATTGAGCCTCCGAGCAGGGAACAGAGGGGCCTCGCCACTGCTGGTTGGCTTGTAAAAAAAGGTCTCAAAACCTCGCTTGGTTAAACCGTTTTGCCAGATTTGGCAGTAGATTTCGCTTTCAGGTTGGCTCACATCTGCCCAGGTCATCGTTCTTCGACCCTAAGGTGATCCTTCTCGGAAGTCGGCTGCAAGGTCAGCCAAGGTCTTCCCCTTGCAACCAGATGGGAGCGTTCGCCAGACACCATTCGTGGCGTGGCCTCTGGCGCTTTCTCAGTGCCCGACCGGAACCGGTGAAGTCTTCGCCTCCGACCTCCAGCCGCGGTCGCTCCGGTCGCTCCGGTCGCTCCGAGGAGGTTGACCCGGGCAACGGACTGGCCCAACCTCCTGAAGATCCTCCAGGGCTATGTCGACCATCTGCGCTCCGGAGAGGTGCGAAACGCTCCCGCTTCAGCTGGGCAAGCCAGTGGTAAGAATGAGGTGATGCATCAGGGAGATGGATGTCAGAATCACTAGACTGACTAGCCCCCCCAAAAACCTCCAAACCGTTTCCACAGGGTGTCGAACAGCTTTGGTTGGTGGATCAGCCCCAGCTTTGGGCCATTTCTTCATGCAATTTTGATCCGGCAGTGTCGGCCGATCAGCCACTTGAAGCCGGCAGGAAGGGCAGCTCTCCATGGGGCCCCTGTTCCTGAAGCTGCCTGGGAATCGAAGCTCGGTGGCGGGCAGGGGTCGCCCATGTCTTGGAAGATGGTGCTTCGAGCACCCAGGTGGTGCATGCAGTGAAGCATAGGCATAGGCCGTGCCTTCT